CTGTGCGGACATCCCTACCCTGGCGGCTTGAGCTTCCTCACAGAATTGTACTGGCAACCAGCCAACCAACCAAGTGCCCCGGGGGTGGGAAATAAAATACATCCGTTTCCTGAAGCCCGAGTCAGGAAACTGGATGGTCAGTCCCCTGCTCCCTTCTGTCCAAGCAGCCCAGACCCAGATTCAAGGGGCAGGCATAGCGATTCCATCTCTCTGCAGAAAGAGAGCCACAGAATTTTGGAAATACGCTTACAAGCTTCCACAGTCACTTATTTGTCATATCGTTTATCCATTCACGTATTTATTCTTAAAAAGCTATTTTGAATATGATTAAAACTGTCCTTCAACTCAGGGACCATGCTTAAGTAGACGAGACTCAAACATGGTGGAGAGCAGTCCTGAATTTTGTGTCAAAAGTCAGAAATGTTTCCCCCAAAAGCCTGTTCCTTAGCTCGTTGCTGGTGATAGAGAAGAATCCAAACCTATGGAAGACATAAGAAAGATTTAAGAAAAACAAGAAGGAGAGAGGAATGTAGGGCGGTACTGCTTGTGGCAGAGTGCACAGCAGAGACACATCTCCTGAGACAAACTCCGCCGTGTTTGCTATACATGACTGATGATTCAGAGCCCAAACCTCCATCTGATCAGCCTGGGACCTTTGCTTCAAGACACCCACTCTCTTCTCTTTCTTAGGTAAAAAGAGGTCCTTCTCTTTGGCCACAGAGAGTTTGCTTGCAGCCTTCTGATATATTCCATCCTCTCCTCTGATGTTTTATTAACAATTCCTCTTTATTTTCTCAGAGCTTTCACACATAGGGTTAGCTCTAACCCTGACATAGCTCAGCCTTTTTATCACTCCTTTAAAAAAAATAAAATAACTTTTCAACACAAATTAAGTGATCTGACACTTGGGAAGCTGTGAGAAGACAAGGGGACCCCACTTTGGGAGCTTCCAAGTTCCAAAACTCCCACACTCGAAATGCTGACTGGTCGATTACGTCAATGTTCATTGACTGGTGTTGAGAATTACACACATGTTCATTTACTTGTCACCTCGACATGGTAACACCTGCAAACAAACAGGCATGATTATCACAGGATCACAGAATAGTGATCACACAATGACGCACACCGTGGATGGAGGGAGTCCGTGAAATCTGCAAGCGGTTGAACCTCGGAGACAGGTGAGCATTTTCTCCGGATTCTTCCCACCCCCCACCACCACCCCAGGAAAGCGGCGTTTCACTTTCTCTCAGGGGGGTCCTCCTTACCCTGAATACAATCTCACGGATTCTTCACTAATTCATTTATTAAAAATTAAGCAAGCACATCTGGAGTCTCATGAGTGTGCTCATACACAGGGGTCTATGGCCTTTGGACAGAGCGGCTGTGGACCTTGGGGACCTGTGTCCTTGCTTCTCTAGACCAAGCTGGGACTCTGCAAATTGCAGGGAGGTGAGGAGAGGCAAAACAGAGAGGAGAGACCTCTCCACAGAACGGAGACGAGAGAATAAGGAAGAATCCAGAAACCTGCTCCTCAACGCAAACAGATTCCAGGCAGGTGAGTTCAGCAACCCCCGCCTGGCACAGCCTGTGTGCATGCATGCACATACTGGAAGCTCTGCTTTCAAAGAATGAAATGTGTACTGTGAACAGCGAGGAGAGATAAGAAGGCCTTCCAGTTTTCATCCCAATCCAAAGAAGGGCGATGCTAAAGAATGTTCAGACTACCATATGATTGCCCTCATTTCGCATGCTAATAAGGTTAGGCTCAAAATCCTTCAAGCTAGGCTTCAGCAGTATATGAACCAAGAACTTCCAGATACACAAACTGAGTTTAGAAAAGGCAGAGGAACCAGAGATCAAATGGTCAACGTTCGTTGGATCATAGACAAAGCAAGGGAATTTCAGAAAAACATCTACTTCTGCTTCATTGACTACGAGAAGGCCTTTGACTATGTGGATCACAACAAACTGTGGAAAATTCTTAAAGAGATGGGAATACCAGACCACCTTACTGTTTCCTGTGAAACCTGTATGCAGGTCACGGAGCAACAGCCAGAACCTTACATGGAACACGTGACTGGTTCAGAACTGGAAAAGGAGCATGACTAAAAAAAGAAAAAAGAAAAGGAGCATGACAAAGCTGCCATGTCACCCTGTTTATACAACTTATATGCAGACTGCACCACATAAAATGCCAGGCTAGATAAATCACAAGCTGGAATCAAGACTGCCAGGAGAAATATCAATAACCTCAGATACACAGGGGATACCACCCTTGTGGCAGAAAATGAGGAGGAACTAAAGAACCTCCTGATAAGCGTGAAAGAGCAGAGTAAAAAAGCTGACTTAAAGCTCAACATTCAAAAACTAGGATCATGGCATCTGGTCCCATCACTTCATGGCAAATAGACGGGGAAACAATGGAAGAAGTGACAGACTTTATTTTCTTGGGCTCCAAAATCACTGCAGATGGTGACTGCTGGCATGAAATTAAAAAACCCTTGCTTCTTGGAAGGAAAGCTATGACAAACCTAGACAGCATATTAAAAAGCAAAGGCATCACTTTGCCTACAAAAGTCCATATAGTCAAAGCTGTGGGTTTTCCAGTAGTCAGATATGGATGTGAGAGTTGGACCTCAAAGAAGTCTAAGCACTTAAGAATTGATGCTTTCAAAACAAATGGGACCGAATGAAACTTAAAAGCTTTTGCACAACAAAGGAAACTATAAGCAAGGTGAAAAGACAGCCCTCAGATTGGGAGAAAACAATAGCAAACGAAGCAACAGACAAAGGATTAATTTCAAAAACATACAAGCAACTCCTGCAGCTCAATTCCAGAAAAATAAATGACCCAATCAAAAAATGGGCCAAAGAACTAAACAGACATTTCTCCAAAGAAAACATACAGATGGCAAAAAAACACATGAAAAGATGCTCAACATCACTCATTATCAGAGAAATGCAAATCAAAACCACAATGAGGTACCATTAGACGCCAGTCAGAATGGGTGCTATCCAAAAGTCTACAAGCAATAAATGCTGGAGAGGGTGTGGAGAAAAGGGAACCTTCTTACACTGTTGGTGGGAATTGCAAACTAGTACAGCCGCTATGGAGAACAGTGTGGAGATTTCTTAAAAAGCTGGAAATAGAACTGCCACATGACCCAGCAATCCCACTTCTGGGCATACACACCGAGGAAACCAGATCTGAAAGAGACACGTGTACCCCAAAGTTCATCGCAGCGCTGTTTATAATAGCCAGGACATGGAAGCAACCTAGATGCCCATCAGCAGATGAATGGATAAGGAAGCTGTGGTACATATACACAATGGAATATTACTCAGCCATTAAAAAGAATTCATTTGAATCAGTTCTACTGAGATGGATGAAACTGGAGCCCATTATACAGAGTGAAGTAAGCCAGAAAGATAAACACCAATACAGTATACTAACACATATATATGGAATTTAGAAAGATGGTAATGATAACCCTATATGCAAAACAGAAAAAGAGACACAGATGTATAGAACAGATTTTTGGACTCTGTGGGAGAAGGTGAGGGTGGGATGTTTTGAGAGAACAGCATCGAAACAAGTATACTATCAAGGGTGAAACAGATCACCAGCCCAGGTTGGATGCATGAGACAAGTGCTCAGGCCTGGTGCACTGGGAAGACCCAGAGGGAGGGGATAGGGAGGGAGGTGGGAGGGGGGATCGGGATGGGGAACACATGTAAATCCATGGCTGACTCATGTCAATGTATGACAAAAGTCACTACAATATTGTAAAGTAATTAGCCTCCAACTAATAAAAATAAAAGGAAAAAAAAGAAAGAATTGATGCTTTCAAACTGTGGTGCTGGAGAAGACTCTTGAGAGTCCCCTGGACTACAAAGAGATCAAACTAGTCAACCCTAAAGGAAATCAACCCTAAATATTCATTGGAATGACTGTTGTTAAACCTGAAGTCCCAATACTTTGGCCACCTGTTGGGGAAAGCCAACTCACTGGAAAAGACCCTGACTCTGGAAAAGATTGAGGGCGGGTGGAGGCAAGGGGGACAAAGGATGAGCTGGTTGGGTGGCATCACTGATTGAATGGGCATGAGTTTGAGCAAACTCTGGGAGTTGGTGAAGGACAGGGAAGCTTGGCATGCTGCAGTCCACGGGGTCATAAAGAATTGGACACAACGTAGAGACTGAACAACAACAACGAACGCTGTGATGGGGTCTCAGCAACGTGGAGAAGCTTCTCACCTGGCACAGGTAAGGAAGAGATAAGAAGGGCAGGGCACTTAGTAGGAACTCAGCAGATTGTTCACGAAGGGAATGACATGCAGTGGAGAGGTGCTTGGTGGAGGCGGGGCGGTCAGATCTCTCCGCCTCACCCACCCGTTCACTCCCAGCCCTACAAACTCCCACCTGCAGGGTCGGCTCATCTCTAGGTTCCTCGCACTTGGCTTTTTGCTTTCGGCTTACAAATGGAACACACACACACATGCACGGGCAGGCACATGTGTATGTGAGTGTCTGAGAGAACATAGGATGAACATGCCCGCATGCACGTACATGCCCGTGTGAAGTGAAGTGAAGGTCCCTCAGTCATGTCTGACTCTTTGTGACCCCATGGACTATACAGGCCATGGAATTCTCCAGGCCAGAATACTGGAGTGGATAGCCTATCCCTTCTCCAGCGGATCTTCCCAACCCAGGAATCAAACCGGGGTCTCTGGCATTGCAGGCGGATTCTTTACCAGCCGAGCTATGTGGGCACTTACAAACACCAGGCAGGTACCCACACACGAACTCCTAGTTCTGACCTTCAACGGCATGATACAGCCTTCCCTCGCACCCTGAAGCAGACCCAGCCTCCCAGACAAAGGCCAGTCTCCACCTCAGTTAGGCTGGCGTCTGCCCAGGAGGGCCCGGGGCCGTCGTCCTCTCTCACGCCCGCACCCCGCTTCTACAGAATCAGGATCAGAAGGCTCAGGACCAACCTCTTCACAGAAGCACCCGCCACTGCCCTGCTTGTCGGGCAGCCCCTGGGGGCGCAGGGACGGGCCCGCCCAGCTATGCACCCTCTCAGGGTCCCCAGCAGACAGCACGGTGACAGGTGTCCCAGGAGGCTCCTGCACTGAGCGCATCTGGAGCGCCTGGACCGGCAGATGGACAAGGTCTGTCTCCTCAGGACCCTCAGAGCTGCCCCCGGGCCCCCCATCAGCAGTGCTCCTCTGCCCTCCCCCGACTTTCCCTCCACCAGGAGTCCTCCCTCCGTGTGCCTGCAAGTGAGCTCCAGCAGCCTAGCGAAGCTAGGAACCCATGCGCTGAATGCATTTTAAACACCTAAACACAAAGGTTACAAACAGCCCAAGGATATGAAAGCCTGCTCCCGGCCTGTGAACCAGGTGGGGGAGGGCTCGTTCCAGCAGTGTGTGTCCCCTCCCCACCCTAGACACCTCTTATCAGGACCCCCTCCAGGTCAAGGGTGGGGAGATAGAGTGTGCATCACACAGGACGAGGGGATCCAAGACAAAAGACCTGCTCCTGGGGCTTTGTGAGCAGCCGTGGGTGCTGTTCTGTACAGAAAGATGGGAGTCGTGATTTATGGTCTGCAGAGCTTGGGTGGGTACGGGAGGTGGGGGTGGGGAAGAGCTGTTCTCATAGATAAGAGCAAATAATTGTTTCCACCGCAGGGCTGTTTTTCAACCCAAGTCCGTGGACTTGGGAAGGACTTTCTTTGCTTTTATTGTTGATTCCATGAGGCACTCTATATACTAAGCATTGAGACCAGCCAGAAGATAAGTAAAATGAATCCAAGAACCATACCAGCTCCAAGTAGAAAAAGAGCTTCTTTTTTTTTTTTTTTTTTTCTCGAACCAGTGGCAAAGCAGAGACACTCAAATAATTCTTACGAGATTTCAGGGTTGTTCTTTTTCAAACTGGGTCTATTTCCCTTTAATGACAGTTGTCAGAAGTCACTTTTAAGAAAGTGCTTTGAAATTGAGTAGAAAATGTCTCACATGTTTACTTTTCCTGTTCTCATGAAGCTCAGATGAGATGTGAGCGACAGGCAGGGTGCTTGGCGCCCCAGGCTCAGCAAACGCAAGCTTCCTTCAAACCTTGTCTCTGGGAACCAGGGCGGGAGATCAAAGGTCTAGGAAGCACTCTGGGATTCAGCCCAGATGGGATAGACGAAGGGTCATCACGTCAGGTAAGCATCTGTTTTGAGGTGTCAGCACCCTTGTACATGGGTACTCCAGAGGGAAGCCCCACGCTGTGAGCTGGAATGGAGACAGAAGCCAGATCTTAGGTTCTGGGCTTCAATCACAGGCAAGGCCATGCTGGACTTTGGTCAGAACCTGGGATCCATCAGAAAAGCAGGAGTGGCAGGGAGGGTCCAGTAGCGGATATTGTTCAGTCGGTAAATCCTGCTGGCTCTTCGACCCCACGGACGGCACGCGAGGCTCCTCTGTCCTCCACTGTTCCCTGGAGTTTGCTCAAATTCATGTCCATTGAGTCCATGATGGCGGGTGGTGCCTTCACCAAACTTCCTAGAGACACAGGAACCAGAGGTGTCAGGCCCAGGCGTGAGGCTCATCACCGTGGTTTAAAGCTCCCCAAGTTTACAGCAGCATCATCGACTCAGTGAACAGGAGGCAGATTCAGTCATGCTTCCGGAACAGGGCCAGGCCGGTGAGCTGGCCGGGGGCTTTTCCTTGGCTTGGTGGCCCAAGGGAGGGCTCCAGCCTTCCTCCCCAACTCTGACCATCCACCAAGCCCGCGTGGGGGTGCTGGTCTGACTCCAGGACCCCAACAGCCCCCTGCATGGATCAAGACCCTCACACCCTGTCCGGTCCACTGGAGGCAGTAACTGAGAGAAGGGGGGTCCCCGGGCAGCAAGGGGCTGGGGGCTCCTGCACAGGAAAGAGGAGCAGAATCGGTTGTCGGTGGCCCTGTCCGTGTTCACAGTCCTGCAGGGGTGGAGACGGGAGAGAGGACACTGCCCGTCGCCCCTGCCCGTGGGGACGGCCACCCTCACCCCCGCATCGCCTCCCTGTGCAGCCCACCTCGGCCAGCACGGCTTCTCCATCCTCTGCCCCCGACCAGGTCCGCGTGCGTCTAAACTCTGAGGAGGAGAAGGGGCCGACAGAGGACGAGATGGTTGGACAGCATCACCGACATGATGGACATGAGTTTGAGCAGGCTCCGAGAGTCGTTGATGGACAGGGAGACCTGGCATGCTGCAGTCCATGGGGTCGCAAAGAGTCAGACACGACTGAGCCACTGACCTGAGACCCTGAGAGATGTGGGTACCAGCTGCGGTCTGAGGCTGCCTTCTGAAGCGTGTCGGGGAGGCACCCTGACCGCAGAGCAGGGCTCCAGGTGGGGGGAATCTGACCAGTCTTTAAACCAAGCCTGGCCTGAGGTGGTCACCATCACCTGTGCTCAGTTTCCAGAGCAAGTCCTGACCCCTCCAGGCCCTCGGGAGGTGGGGAGGCTGGCTGAGGCAGCTGCGTGCGCATTTATGCAGCAGCCCTCACATGGCACTGCCTACTTGCCCTGGGAGCCCCACCCAGTTACAACGGGAGGTATGACGCCTGCACCCATTTCACAGATGAAGGAGGGAGGTCCAGGGAGCTCATCTCACCTGCACATGGTCCCCGAGCTTGTGAGAGGTGGAATGGGGACCCAAGGACAGCCACAGGCAGAGGACCATGCCCTGAGGGTCGCAGGCACACCTGTGCGTGTGTGCTGGGTCACTCAGTTATGTCCCGCTCTCTGCAACCCTACGGACCATAGCCCGCCAGGCCCCTCTGCCCATGGGGTTTCCCAAGCAAGAATACTGGAGTGGCTTGCCGTTTCACTCTCCAGGGGATCTTCCTGACCCAGGGATCGAACAAGCATCTCCTGTGTCTCTTGCATTGGCAGATGGATTCTTTACCACGGAGCCACCTGGAAAGCCGTTCTTAGCAAAAAGAAATACAAATTGGCAGAGTAGCATGGACATATATACACTCCCCTATGTAAAATAGGTAGTGGGAAGCTGTCATATAACACGGGAGCTCAACTCGGTGCGTGGGGTAGGGAGCGGGAGAGAGGCTCGAGAGGGCATGCTGCGTGCTAACTCACTTCAGTCCTGTCCCACTCTTTCAACCCCATGGACTGTAGCCCACCAGGCTCCTCTGTCTGTGGGATTCTCCAGGCAAGAATGCTGGAGTGGGTTGCCATGTCCTCCTCCAGGGGATCTTCCCGACCCACAGATCGAACCTGCATCTCCTGCATTGGCAGGCAGGTTCTTTACCAGTAGCGCCACCTGGGAAGCCCCTGGACAGAGAGGATATATGCACACATATAGCTGGTGCACGGCGCTGTCCAATAGAAACTAACACAACTTTGTAAAGCAATTATCCTGCAATTTAGAAAATTAAAACAGAAATTGCTTGAATATCCATAAATCTTTACTTATCTTCTCAATAATCACATGAAAAGTGAAAAGTGAAAGTCACTCAGTCGTACCCAACCGACACAACCCCATGGACTATACAATCCTGGAATTCTCCAGGCCAGAATACTGGAATGGGAAGCCTTTCCCTTCTCCAAGGGATCTTCTCAACCCAAGGATCGAACCCAGGTTTCCCGCACTGCAGGCGGATTCTTTACCAGCTGAGCCACCAGGGAAGCCCAGGAATACTGGGGTGGGGAGCCTTTCCCTTCTCCAGGGGATCTTCCTGACCCAGGAATCAAAGTGGGGTCTCCTGCATTGCAGGTGGATTCTTTACCAGCCAAGCCACCAGGGAAGCCCTAATAATCACATTTACAGTTTTAGATCAGTATCATGAGCCCTCTTGAGAAGGGGTCGGAAGCTAGGAAGAATTCTGGCGTGAGTGATGGAGCAGACTTAGGCAGGTCTTCCCCCAAGTCCTGCCGTGGGCGGGTCAGAGAGTCAGGCTGGCCACCAGGTAATAGGGCAGGAGTGGCCCAGCGGTCTCCCAGGGATGGAGCCAATGGGACACAAGTAAGCGAAGAGCCGTGGGAGGCCTGCTGCTCCCTCCCGCGCCTGGGAGCCAACTGAAAGCCACATTTGCACACGCCTTTCTGCTCTGAGGACCACATTTAAATGTAATAGGTAGTGCTGTAATTACAGACACCCTGAGGTGACTTCCTCTGTGGAGAAGCATTTGTATAATTTCAGAAATTACCTCGTTTTTATTTCTGGTTGCAGAGTTTAGAATTTTAATACCTTTGCATTCACACAGAGGCATAGCAGAGAGGAGCCTGGGATCCTTTTTGTAGGGGGCCAGCATTTAATGAACATCTGTGCTGGGCCAGACTCCAATTATATATAATCTCCCACACTCAACTGCTTCCTTCATGAAATATATATAATGCCTATTTGATAGGGCTGTCAAGGATTAAGTTAAATGGGATAAAATAATGTAGCCGGGGACACACAGCTGGGAAAAAACAGAATTGGAATCACCCCCGTGGTCTCCCTCTCACAGCCTCGCTGGTTCCCATGCACTGCATGGCCCTGCTCACGGAAGGTGCCAAGTCTTTCTCCCTGCAAAACTCTCATCCATCTCCTGACCTGGATTTAATTCCATAGCGGATCAAACACCAAGCCACTGCTCTACCCCCACTTACACGGTCACCTAAAATCTGCGTGGGTGTGTGGGTGCTCAGCTGCTTCAGTTGTGTCCAGCTCTTTGCTGACCCATGGACTGCAGCCCTCCAGGCTCCTCTGTCCATGGGATTCTCCAGGCAAGAATACTGGAGTGGGTTGCCATGCCCTCCTCCAGAGGATCTTCCTGACCCAGGGATCGAATCCGCGTTTCCTGCATCTCCAGCAATGCAGGCGGATTCTTTACCCACTAAGCCACCGAGGAAGACCCCACCTAAAATAGTTGCATTACTAATAAGAGAAAGTACTGTGCAATGCTCACCATTATAAACTTCATAATTTATTCAGTGATATTCACCAAGTCCCTACGGTTTGCAGGAACTCTCCCGGGAGCTGAGGATGCTGGGGACTCTGCACCCTTGAGTTGACATTACGGAAGAGGGGAGGAAACAGGATGAACTATCCACAAATATAAAGGAGGAGCTGTCAAGCTGTTCTGCGAGCCACGCAAAAGATGCTGTAGACTGACACCCAACAAAGGCTTCCCTGCAAAGGTGAGTTTGCACAAAAGAGACCCGGAGGAGTGCGTTCCTGGCAGAGCGAACAGCTGGCGAGAAAGCCCCAAGGCAAGAGTGAGCTTCTGTACCCAGGAAACAAGGCGACGGCATGGCTGGAGGGTGTAGCAGAAAAGAGTTGCCCGGAATGAGGTCAGGATATCGCAGGGAAAAGGCAATTCTAACTTTTCTTGTTGGAATTGCTTCTTGGACTTGCTTTCCGTTGCTTTTGTTATTATAATCATACATAATGGCTTGCCTCAGAGGACTCTGCCCCTCTGCCTGACCATTAAAGTGCCTTTGTTCAGGATCCTGTCTACCTGTGCATGGCAGGAAGGAAGAAATGAACACATCCCCCTGCCTGAGGCGTGCCATTCAGGGAGATAGTTACAAGATAAACGACATTTTCAGTTGGTTTCCTCGCCTTCCCCCATCTCTGTTCTATAAAACAACCTGGCATCCAGACCCTGATATGGTGGCTATTTGGAGACATTAGTCTCCCATCTTCTTGGTCTGGAGGGATGACCTCCAGGATGGGCAGCTTTGGAGGGATGGCCTCCAGGACAGACAGGAAGCCTCCCAGGATGAGGGCAGGAGATGAGCAGAAACCACACCCCATCAGAATTCACAGCCAAGGGCAGGGGAATGGGTTTTATTCTGAGGGCAACCAGAAGCCTAAAGGCGGCCTTGGGCCAGGGAGAAGCACAGCCTGTTTTGCATCATGTGGTCTGTGTTTAGATCTCACCGCTGCTGTGTGCAGGGTGGACGGGGAAGGTCAGGTGAGGAACTGAAGCAGAGAGAGTGTCTCCCACAGAGGGACGGCGGTGGCTTGTGTGGGAGGGCGGAGGAAGCGGGGAGAAGAGGGCAGGGGTGGCGTTTGTTCAGGGGAGGACAGGAGAGAGACGGGCAACAGGACTTGGTTGACTAAAATAAATGCACAACTAAGGGTTGCGAGTTTTCTTTGGGGCAACATGAGGGCTGCAGCCCGGGGGACAGCACCTCAGATATAGCTTTGAGAAACTGCTTGAGAGATGGGGGGGATGGACAGTATGTATGCGATTTTAACAAAGGGAGGGTACATACAATCAAGCACATATTTTTTGTAGAAAGTTTCTGCTGATCTCGTGAAGCTTACAGGAAAGAATGGTCACCATGGAGGATTTCAGTGCTTTTCTAGATCTGCGGAGACATAAGAATTGGACTCAGAAACTCAGCTCCTGGGAATATCTAACTATCTGAAGACCTGTCCTGCCAGTTTTCCTGGAGCACAGAGCCCTGCCCTCCACCATTTCTGCTCTCTGCCCTGAGCTCCTTTCACGGGGGGTTGAAGGTCAGCAGCTGCAGTGGTACCTGATTTAATCCTTGTAGAGGTAGGTGGCAAGCACCCACGGCAAGGACCAATTTGTGGTTGACAAGTTGATGAACCGGGCAGGGGCTGTGCGCAACTGAACCATTTTCTCTAATTAACCCACCCCCAGCCAGCCCCGAGCACAGATGCACTGAGAGGGGAACGGGCGTCCCCAACCCCACTCACAGACTTCCTCTGACCAGCAGAGTGTCCATGGAAGTGCCGAGACGGCAGAGGGCTTAGATGGCACGGCCTTCCTGAGCTCCTGCCTGCAATGGAACTAAAACACCTCCCAGGGAGTGTTTCTCTGCCAACACTGGGACCCTAGCTGGGCCCAGTTAAGTGCATCCAAGACTAGCTGAGCCCGGAAGGCTTCCACCCACTTGCTGACCTGTGAGCTAGAAAGGAATGTTTGCAACTGTCAGCTCCAGGATTCTTTGTTTCCCTGGCAGAAGCTACCTTCTACAGGAATGACTTCAGATATTTGGATTAGCATCTTGTGTAGACAGTGGTTCAGGGCCTCCCAGGTGGCTGCCTTTGTGTTAAAGAACCTGCCTGCCAATGCAGGAAACGTAAGAGATGTGGGTTCGATCCCTGGGTCAGGAAGATCCCCTGGAGGAGGGCACGGCAACCCACTCCAGTGTTCTTCCTGGAGAATCCCATGGACAGAGAAGTCATTCTATAGGGTTGCAAAGAGTTGGAGGTGACTTAGTACACACAGACGGTGATTCAGTTGACTGATTTGGGGGGTGACGAAGTGAGGTATGGAAGTGAGAACTATGAGTGCATTCTGGAACACCTTTTTAAAAAATATTCCAAGTCCTGTGGCTTTTTTAAGATTTATTTTTGGCTGCGGTGGGTCTTTGTTGCTGTGTGGGCTTTCCTCTAGTTGCGGCGAGCGGCGGCTGCTCTA